TCAAATCCCCAAGATTCTTCACCTGTACCATGGTGTTGAGATCTCTGCCAAACTGGTCACACCTCTCCTCCTCTCCTATGGAAAATATATCATCTACATGTACCACCAGAGTTACTACCACTCTTCCCTCCTCAATCAACCGAAACACACACGTATCCGCCATGCACTGAATAAAACCCAAACAAATCAAACATCTCGCCAAGCGTGAAAACCATTTCCTTGATGCCTGCTCAAGGCCATACAGACTCTTGTTCAACTTCACTATCATACCTGACAATCTACCACACCCCTCTGGCAGACGCATGAAAACATCCTCATCCAAATCCGACTGAACAAATGCTTGCTAGATGTCAAAATGACGGAGAGAAAGATTTTGCTCAAAGCCATCGCTGCCGATAAACGAACGTTAGAAACCGCTACAGTCGGTGCATACGTCTCTCCACAATCTACATGTACTCGCTGCATATCTCCTCTCGCTACTAGCCGTGATTTCACACTAGTTGGCTATCCATACTCATCAGACTTCCAATCAAACACTCACTTCGCCTTGATAACACTCTCTGGTTGCTACAATACTTCCTCAAAGGTACCAGCCTCGATCAGACCTCTGAACTCTCTCTCTACAGAGGCTATCCACAAGTCAGCATGCTCAGAGGACACAGCCTCCCTATACGTTTTGGGCACGCGCAAGTCACTAGCATAGCACTGGGGCAAGTCCGGCGCCACTTCCGGGGGTTCGAAATCCCTCATCGCGCGATCAATGTCCTCGCGGGAGGCAAGTAAGGTGGCGCACGCAAATGGGACTTCTTCACGCAGTCCTTCTGTTTTCGTGCCCCCCCGCTCTCGCCCCCCCAGCTCCGCTCCATCATGTCCTCTGGCTGAAATCGGGATCTCCTTTCTTCACCCATCGACGATGCTGCGAGTGGTGAGAGTCGACAGGAGCGTTGCCTTGTCCTGCAGGGAAACAAGCCCGAAGCGGTGGGCGGGAGCGTCGCCGCTCCCGCCAGGTGACGTCGACTGCTCGGCCCCTTCATCCTGGAAACGCACCCTCCGACCCCTCAACCTCCCTGGCACCCGCGTCTCTCGTCCCAAGTCCAGCTCTCGATTGGCCCTGGCAGAGAGGGGCGGCATTGACGACGCCCGCCCCCCCCCCCTGGGCCTTAACGGCTGCCCTGGTGCGCCCAGAAACCCTCATGTCCCCGCGCCCCACGTCCAGTTTACGGATGGTCCTCGTAGTGAGCGGCGGCATGTTGGTCGATGGCGCGGCACCGGGCGGCACGACGGCGGGAGACGGTGTTACTGACGGAGTAGCGGCGGTGGTGAACGGTGGCGCGGCGACGAACGGCGTTGCAGGCGGCGCGGTCGTGGTGAACGGTGGCGTGGCGGCGGTAGACGGCGCCGCCGGCGATGGTGGTGTGGAAGTTGCCGGCGGCGCCTGTGAGGGTATGGCAGCGGGTGAAGTGGGGGTTCGGGCGAACGGTGAGGGGGGTAAGAGAGACGGTGCAATGTGCTAAATTAAAAACGTCGGTGCGGCGGCGATATCCGAATTCCCCCCTCGCCCGCCGGCGACGGCAGCTCCAGCGGCGGGGTCAGCAACGGCGCGCGGTCGGAGACCCACACAACGTTGTTCGTCATGCACACGCGCCCCGTCGCAAACTTGAGGACCTTGACCGCCGATTCGTGGTGGCTGTCGCCGTTGTTGAGGTAGCAGCACAGCACTGCCTGAGGGTCCATCTTCCGCGCACGCGTCACACGCATGTACCCCGGCTGCAAGAACGGGACGATTTGGAGCGGGGGCGGGCGACCGGTGAAGAGCTCGTGCGGCGACTTGTACCCGACGTTTGCCTTGGTCGGGGAACGGTTGAAGCCGCCGGCAGTCCAGTGACACGACTCTAGCCAAAGTCGCTCGCCATCGCGCCCGTAGCCAGGGATGCGGGTGAAGTCGATCTTGGGGAACAGGCGGCATGCCTCGAGACGAGCGGCGTGGCCGGCCTTGTTCACGCGCCAGATCGCGCTCTCCGCCGGGCCATTTTGTTGCGGGGTGCCCGGCGCCGTGTACGTACGGCGGATGCCGGCGTTGTCGCAGAAGGCGATGAAGTCGCGGCTGGTGAACTCCCCCCCGTTGTCCATCCGAAAAGAACGAGGAACACCGGTGCCACTCATGTCGGCGAGGAACTTCTTGACAAAGGCGAGGGTGTCCGACTTGCGCCTCATCCCGTACAGCTTCATCCACCACGAGAAGCTGTCCACGAACATGATCATGACAAATGATCCCCCTAGCGACGCCGTCATGGACCCACACAGATCGATGTGCCAAAGATCGTGCGGCCCGCCCGCGCGCGCGCCCATTTTATGGGGCACGCCCGCCTTCTTCCCCTTCGCCTGCAGGCAACCACCACAAGGCTGCAGAACACCGGTCAGGCGGAGGCCGTGCTGCTTCGAAAGTTCACGCAACAAAAACTCATTCGCATGGGAACACGAGACGTGGAGAAAATTAATGTCAACAATGGTGGTGGGTTTCCCCACCGAAAAAGGTCGCTTGCCCGGGGCCATGACGGGGACGGCAAAGGCAGCATCATCGAAGACATTCGCAAAGCCAGACTCAAACATCAAATCTAAAAACTCATGGGGGTCTTCTGATTCTTCTCGTTGTTCCAAGAGGTACACAGCCCACTCGTAATCTCCCTGCTCTGTGAACGGAATGCACCCACGGTCATCATCATCAATACTCTCTTGAAAAACGGAGACGTCGGGCGAGGGCAGCCCGGGAACACCTACCAACTCCATTCCATGCGGCACTTCAGGAGCGGAAGAGAAAACCACACTCCTGTCAGCGGGGGAGGGGGCATGCATTGCCGGAGGAACGACGCTGTTCGCAGCGGGCGGAAAATCGGACACAGGAGAGGGTACTACGCTGTTTGCAGCGGGAGAGAAACCATACACCGTTGAAGATACGCTGTTTGCAGCGGGAGAGAAACCATACACCGTTGAAGGTACTACACCGGCAGCAGCGGGCGGAAAATTCGACACGGGTGCATGAAAAATATTCCTGTGGGCGGTGGGGTCACCAGAATGTACTACGCTGCTGGCAGCGGGCGGGAAACCAGAGATGGGGGTTCGCACTATGCTCCTTGGAGCAGATGTATGCACGACACTGCTGGCAGTGGGCGGGAACCTAGACACCGTTGGAGGTACTGCACTGCCGGCCCTGGCGACAGTGGGCGGTACACTAGACATCGGGGAACGGGGCACGTACGCTACACCTTGGGGGGAAGGCTGCATGCGGGGGATGGCATGCATAGACTCAACACCACTCACACTAAAGTAATCGGCAGAGCGAGGGGGGGGCGGGGGAAACGGCGTTACCACGGGCACAGCAATGGGCGTCGCGTTTTTTGGCGGCAGGCGAGTGGCTCTCAACGATGAACCACGCTCGCCACGGGGAAAAGTTAAATTTCCGTCAAATAGGTGAATGCCTACAGCATCCATTGCAATGCGTTGCCCCCCATGGCCTTGTGAAGCGTTGTGAAGTGTTCCTTCTCGCCTCCATCTCCGCCCCAAGCATTCACTATGAATTGTTCTACCCTCTCCCTCTCCAGACCATTCTCGGACATGAGAAAACCTGTGTATACATCATACTCCGGGAGGAGGTTGCGCACGAGATGTCTGTTGGCATCATCCTCTGTCATCATCACGCCGCATGACGATAATCTTTGCCTTAGCACCCACCCTCTCGACTGGTACTCTTTGGGATGTTGGTCTACCTTCTGCGCCAATTCTTGCCACTCTAGTTGGAGGCTAGTATTTTCGGTGTGTGCGTGTAGACTACTTGAAAATGGTTTCGGAATATCCTCCATGATTCCGTGGGGCAACCACTAGAGATAATGGCTGGAACGATCGATGCAACCTGAATTTTCGCCAGTATTCACTGCCAGGCCTTCACGGCCTTCTCTACGGCCTTCTTACCATACTCCTCCTTCAGTTTGGGGATGTCTGCATCTGATTTCCCCACCTTGATCGTCTCTTCTGATTGTATCGCGCTCAGGCAATCTTCTTGTTGCAACAACATCCGAAATTGTCTCTCAAAAACCTGTACTCTGACTTGGACATCGTCACTAGAATCGAACACACCCGTAAATGGGGCTATATGTATCACAGGACTAACACGGATGGTGTCCTTAGGGGCTAAGACTTCCCTGGTCTCCTCCCCCGGGGTGTTGGTCCTTCGCATTGCCCGAGCGAAGGAATCAACGAGACGGTCCTCCAACGATCGTGGCTGGTCTTCAGGTTGCGAGTTCAACGCTGTTCCAGCCGGCCGAGCTGCCGGGGGATTGCCTCCATCGGGGGGCATGTCCACGCTCTCTGATGCGGGACGCTTTTCTTCTGTTTCCTTGATTTTCTTTTGTATTCCCTTCTCCACCTCCTCTTTGAAGTTCGCCGCTAATGCTTGGCGATCCTCTTCAGTAAAGCTGCTGAGGTCGAGGGCTTCCATTATCTACTTCTCTAGCCGAACCCTTTTATAGCTAACCTCACCTCGGGATCCCGTATGATATCACACGCTAGCGTGTTAGGATGATCCGAACTGGGGGTAGCTTGTCGCAAAAGACGCCGTCGCAGGAGGTCACGACGACCATCCTGTGCGTATATAGATAACATGATGAATATATATATTGTATTCCTCCTATCATTGGACTCTGTCGTCTGCCCCTCTGGCCCCTATCCTCCACTTCTACCAGCTAGACGACACAACCGGGGTCACATAGGAGGGGCTCCTCCTGCGGTTCCTGCCTACAATATTTTTATCGCGATACGGGTACAGCAATCCCTTCCCTCGCGACTTATGAAGTCGATCGATTTTACCAACAACGAGCTTTGCCGCGCGTCGTTTTCAACTTAGACCAGGATTTATTTAGTGGGAAAAGGAACTCACTTTGTATATGTGGGAAGGGGTCTTCTCTATCTGCCAAAGACTGTAGACTTTAAAGCACCTTTGCGTGTTTTCACATCTTCGCCTGTGGTTCAGTTTGCCTCGAACAGAAACTCGACAGCGACTTCCTTGTACTCAGCGGTGGCCTTGAACTTACTGAGCAGGTTTTCCGCCAACATCTTGGCGATCTCCTTCTGACCTTGGAGAAAAACTCCGCTGCGACCCTCCTGACGACACAGGAAAGCAAATACACAAGTGAGAAGCGTTGGACGTGATCGAGTTCTTCGTGCGAATATCAACAAAGTTGCTGATAAACTCAACTTGTTGTGGGTAGTCACACTATATTGAATTCCCAGTGCGCCCTCTTTCTTTGTGGTGCACGTGATGAGCTCGAAGTGGTTCGCCGTCAACCGCATCATCTCAGTACACGATACCCAACGATATCGAACCAAAGTCACTCCTAAATTTGCCAGCAGCACAGCTCGGTCTTCCCTCCCTTACCACGTCGAGGGAATCATACGACGAGCGCTCCTGGAACCTTAGTATTTCCTTTTTGGTACGGCCGTCTATGTTGATTTCGGAGTTGGAGTTGTCCTTGATGTATTCGTTGACGATGGCGAGAAACTCTTCAAAGCAGCTTTCATCCTCGTGGCCACGTTGAGCGGCATGTACCGAGCTCTGAAACTCGGACGCGTCAATCAGGAACTGGAATGACTGGGGGTAGTACCAGGGCGACCGCAGACCGGCAAGAGAGAGAGAGAGAGAGAGAGAGAGAGAGAGAGAGAGAGAGAGAGAGAGAGAGAGAGAGAGAGAGAGAGAGAGAGAGAGATGGGGCCCAAGGGGTGTTGTCGTTTCCAGAAAAGATGCACACTCGAGCGGGAAACGTTTTTACCTCGAAAGCACCAAGTACGTAATAGACTAGTGAACTACTAGGGTCGGCACGACGAGCACAACGTTCCAACCAAGTCATATCAAACGCGACAGTATGTGTATCCGAAACATCGAGTCCATGTAACCAAGCAAAAAAAACAAAGTTCGAGTTATCTGCGCTATTTGAGAATGGGGCACGCAAATTTTCCGCGTCTGAATAGTGTACCTCACTGCATAGAGCCCTCTGGCAAAACTCCCCGAAGGCCTGCTTCAGAGGAATTAATCCCATTATGGTAGCCAGCGGGCTCTCAGCCATGAAAGTGGCACCGCTTCGCGGGCTGTTGTGTGCCATCGCTGTAGTTCCCAGGTGTCGTTGAGAAGTACAGGCCACACGGGACGTGTTTGCTTTGAGGCCTGTTCGTGCCAAAAATTTCCACCAACTGATATTGTGCTGCTTGAGAAAACCCCGCACGGGCTTGACGTTGCTGGCGAGGGAACGTTGTGAATCAGTGCGCGTGTGCAGTGCAACAAGTCGACGGTGCGAGGATGTAAGTTGTGTAGCGCGTTCTTCGACGCAGACAGCAATATACAGTGACTGCATGTACCCGAGATGCGTTGCCGACGGGAGGCGAGTGAGCTTCAGAGAGTAGGTGGGACCCGAACGAGGCATCCGCATGGTGGTGTGTTACCCCGACGCCTATTTTGTCTAGACTGCTGAGCAAGAAAGGGAGAGAGATGCCAAACAAAACGAAACAGCGACATGCGTTCGCTATTGGGCAGATGCGCGGAAAGTTTGGGGCGCATAGAGAGAGGTGTTTAATAACCGCTGCGAGGAACGGGTGTGTACGACTTCGGGGTTATCTTATTCTGTGAAACACAGTCACACTGCAGTATTTTCGACGACGCCTTCCCTACAATACAGCTTATGCCGTTCAAGGTTCTCACATTGTCCACGTTACCAGCCCGGCGTCGGAGGCGATGAGAAAAATGACCCAGTACTTCACCACCATCGCGGGCACTCCGGGCACCCCTCCGACAAGTCCGCCGCCAACTTAGATACAACCAGGCGGAAGGACAGGATTCATGGGAAAGGGGGAAGCGTTCGTCAAACGTGCGAACTGATCAGAGTAGCGCGGGTAGGAAACGGCGATCGAAAGCACGTACAGTAGGGCTCGGAATAGTAGTCACAGAAAACCAAACGTGGTTGCAAATCATCTGGGGTTCCCACATACCACAGGAATTCGCGGTTTCCCGAGTTTTTTACCAGCGAGACGCTTATTCTTTCTCCCATACTCCCGGGGCTGTAGGAAATTATTTTGCTTCCCTTGTTTCTATCACTGTGCTCAGCTAGTTCTCCGAGGTCCTGCACCAGCACTTATAGGTCATTTTCGTTAGGCCACTTGACCAGGTTTGCACGGGTTTTGATTTTCGAATAAAAATTGTCGATGATGATTTCTGCTGATCTTTCGCGCAAATAAAAGGGTCCTTTGAAAAAAGAATTATCCACCTTGACAGCCGCAAGCACACCCAGGCCACACAATGTATCATATCTAAGAATCAACTCAGTTCGCTCACGAAACATCGCGGTCACGTATGCTCCTAGGTGACGAGCATCTCGGGACAGCCCCTCCACATCTCGAACTTTCATCATGGGGCCCGCGAGACCTATCGACGCTACGACAACAAGGAGCGTTCCCAGTATTGCCATCATCCTCGCGACTACCGCAGTCCTGCGCAGTTTCACGGAAGAGCAAAATTGCGGTACGTAGAAGGTTAGCGCATTCCTTTGGCGTCATCAACCGAATTCTCCACTTTCGGGTTGTGTGACGTCTGTGGATTGGTCATGGCTTTGGTGTGCGCAGAAAGGATAACATCCCAATCGTTGGTGGGGACTACATTTTGTCAAACATCTCTTCTCACAGCCAGTGGGACCGTATCGTCATCACTTGATACGTCTACTGAAAGTTTATGCTTTTTCTCGTCCATGACCACTCAGCCACCTGGCCATCCCATGCACCGCAACTGCAGCCCAGAGAACAGCTTCCATTCCCCCGTAGGTCCAGCAGAGACCTCGGGCAATGCCTTTTTCGTTGACGCAGCGCCCCCATCTCTTCCTTTTACTTGGGTCGTACAGCACCAGCAACCGGATCACCCAAGCGATCAGCGCGCCATTTCCGACCCAAAGAGCCGGGGCTGTAATCAGCGTCTGGGCGTTAAAAGCGCTGGTGGTCTCAAGCCCGGCGAAAACTATGAAACACACTGTGACGCAGGCACGTCCAATCCTGCATGCAGCGCAGATGCAAGCTAGTAGGGGCGATCTGCGCGGCAATCGGGAGTGGTCGTAGAAAAAAGCGGAACCTTAGGGCAAGATGCCACACCCATCATCCTACGGCCTCAATGGCGACACATTGTCTACATGTGCGAATCAATGCGATCATGTCACGTAAAGTGTACCGTTTCTAGAACGATGTATACGCAGATACGCTGGTATGGGTTAGAAAGAGGGTGGGTGACACGATCTGTTGACGCGCTTCATCCACTACGGTCGTGTGGGCTCAACCAGAGAACAGCCCGCTGGTGGCGTCAAACCACCAGCTGTGCTCAGAACAACATGTGGTACGGGTTAGACCACTGTATGTCAGGGTTGAGATTTAAAACCAAAACCTCCCCCACGAAATATTCACTCAATTCCTGTACCTCAGCGCGATGCGGAACTCCTTCCTCATTCTCCACATGGCTACGATGTGGCAGGAGACGTAACACACGTGCAGCGTCGTCAAGACCAAGATGAACACGTCCGCCGTCCATTCTGCCGCGGACTTCATGGCTGTCACCGGTGACAAAGGCCAAGAGAAAGGAAGTTATGTGGGCTATCTGGCCGGTACGCTTCTGCGCCCTCTGCCTTTCTGTATCGAAATAAATATCTATGCAACGAGGCAGGCGATCACCACTTGTACCATTCTCGCAAAATATAGGGCTACCGTGGGCAAGACGCAGGCTGCATTCAATATCTCTGGACTCCGACTTCGGCAAATAACTGTAGTGAACTGCCTCTGGTCTTGACCGCGTTGTGGGACACGGCACGTTGCACCGTGCTCGTTATAAATAGCAGCCTATCCACCTGAGCTCAAGTTAGAGAGCTAAGGGCGGAACATCTACTACACAACAGAAGCAATGCCAGGGTTCGAGTCTCTCCGTGGACGATATGGATGCCTTTTTCTCGCAACGAATAGAGGCGCCTTAAAGTCACGGTATGCATCATCAGTTGCCAAGATGAAGTCAGTTGGACAACGTTGATGACGAGGCGGACAAGCTGGCGTTCGGGGCCGATTTGAAGCGCAAGTACTGGAAATTTGGTTGGGTCCACTAGCTGAGGTGGACACCAGGTCTCAGCCATCATCCCAATACTTTCATGAAATGCTCGGCAATGAGCAGACAGGAAAGTGTCGTAGATCTTTCGTCTTTCCTTTCTTCTTTGGACGGTACAGGGGGGGGGGGGGGGCTGTCCCAGGTTTCTTGTCGTCTCCCGCGCACCTCTTAAATACACAGTACGCTGCTTACGCGGGGCTTTGAGCTCTCTTTTGTACCCCAAAGACGTGTGGAGCGATGTGCAAGAAGAAATAGTAAAGAACCTTTACGATCGCTCCACACTCTCTCTTGTATTGGGGCGGCTGTGCCTCGTTTGGTACAGGGGGTGGGCGGGGCGCATGGGTAGCAAGTTCGTCCTCCCCGGCGAACCCATCGCCGTCAATTCGAAGTCATTGAACCCCGACACTTTTCAGTAGGCGGCCTGACTGTATACGGCTGAAAGGCAGTGGAAGTCATCAGCGGGTTGGCACTTGTGTTACCAAGTGGTCAAGAGAGGTAGGCGCAACCCGCCCCATCGCTCCTCGCCGATACATTTTTTCCCACACTCTAGTGAATAACAACATACGATGGGTAGGACCTGTCTCAGGTTTTGCCCGTCTCTCCTGCACCTCTTCGTACACGCTTCTACGCGAGGATTTGATCTCTCTTTTTGTACTCCTGTCCTAATAGTCTAGGGGTTGTGTGGAGCGATGGGAAATCAATAGTAAAAAACTTTACCCCAATCGCCCCACCCTCTCTATTGTAATGGGGGCTCTCCTGCGCCTCGTTCACCTCTGAGTACGCTGCTTACGCGGGGCGTTCTCTCTTTTGCACCCCCAAGGATGTGTGGAGCGATGGGGAATCAACAATACAGGAACTTTGCCCTATCTCTCTTGTATGGGGGGCGGCTGTGTCTCCTTTGGAACTTACAGGGGATGGGCGGATGGGGAGTAGCTGTGTCTCTCCCTGCAGCTGTCTGCTGAAGTTCAGTCAAGAGAGCGAGAACTCGTCGCTTCGCACCCGGTGTACCTTCCAATCATAATATGGTGTATTTCGTATTTGGCCAGTTGTTGGCGCGTGTTTTCCTCGTTCATGTGATTGATGTGCGGCGTTTTTGGTGCTGTTTCGACTATGTACATGTGTAGTTCTACATTGCAGATAGACAGTTCCTCGCTGCCGTTTCAAAACGGAACATTTTTTCGAACCTTTTTTGAAGGGCGTGCGTGCGTGCGCCCTCTCACAAACTTCAACGTGCACGACAGGCGCGCCCGGAGCATCGGAGCCAGTACACGGTAACATGAGCGGCAGTTGGAAAGTCTCTGGAGATCTGTCAGGGGAGACGTGAGATGCGTGGTGTTGTCTCTCTCTTCGTGCGTTTTTTTTTTTTTTCGTGCGGTTATTGTTTTCGTCTGACGACCCTGTGACGCGTCAGTCACAACGGGCTGTTCTCGGAAATCATGGGGCGACCACGCGGGCCCCACACACGCCATCGCTGCACGTATTACCGGCGGCCTTCGCCTCTTATGATGTTTATACCCTTATGTGTGCTCGTTATTGCTTTTCAGAGCGTCTCGTTATGATCTCGCTTTCCTGACGTATACCTTAGTACGCAAAATACCAGCCCCCCTTCGAAATTTGAATTTATCGCCGCAAATCACACCCACCACCTCACACATTTGCTGCAGTGATTGCCCACCGTCATGAACCAAACAACGCATGTGGGTGGACCGGGGGTGCCTATATCCGATAAATTACTTGAAATTAGTTTATTTCGGTTGCTGCGCGTACACACCCGCTGTGCTGCATATCTCAGCACCAAAAAGTCTGCAATATGTACTAAAAAGAGAATGCGTCCTGTAGCCCGAAAACAAATCCCAAGTTGTCCCGAAGACAAGTTCTTCGACCCGGGGACAAGTTCTTCGACCCGAGGACAAGTTCTTCGAGAAGATCCTGATTAATAAAGCTCGAGAATAAGTTTTACAGCTGTAAACTATAGTAGTTGCATGTCCCGGAACCATGTAAGAGTTTGACATCCACAATGTACACGAGTTCCCCTAGCCCGTAGGCACACGTAGAAAAAATAGTTTTGAAATCGGAACATGTGCCGATTTTTTATTTTTAGATCACTACTAGATTCATATCAGTATACACTGCTGTATGCGTATGCACATTTCGCTGCCGCATCACCGCAGTATTTTCCTCTAGCCTCCAAACTAGGTGCGCTTGTGTGTTGTGGCCATATCTGTCTATCCCCGTGGAAACGACGGTCAAATTTCGAACAGGTGGCTACGAGGTGCGCGAGAGACCCTTCCTGGACTGTTGTGTAGATTTGTCCAATCGGATGTATGTGTAGTTGATGGAGCAGACGTGTAGTTGATAGAGTCAGCTAATCAGCAAATCGTTCATCGTATCGTGAACATTACTTGAACTATTCGTAGCCAATAGACCTATCGGCATTTATCGTGCTAATCGCCCATTCCATTTTCAAGTCGTTTTGTGATTCATGTCTGCTCCGAAAAGTCGGGACGGTGTACATTTCCATCTATTCAGCAGGCTGTTGTTCTCCTTGGTAAAAACATCAAGGAGAGGTTCCTCTCGTTATCTTACTCCAAGGTGCATCTCCTTCTCCCAAGTGAAGGTCAATTTTCCGCCCTTTGCTGTC